CACCTAAACCTTATAAAGACAAATACAGTGTACCGTATAACAGAGTACCATTAATAATCACATTAAATACGTGAAATAAAAAATTAAAACACTTTTGTTCATTCTGTCATTAATTGTTAATGTACACTTGATGTACACATTTACAGCTATAAAACTATCAAATAACAAGCATGGCTGCCATCAGTGTGTGTGTGTGTGTGTGTGTGTGTGTAAATGGGTTAAAGAGACACACATTAAGGTGCTTTGGATAAAAAATGTTCCAACCCCACCGATGCGTGGTGTTTTATAGGGAGAACAGAGCTATATGCATGCACAGAGGTTGCTGGGATTATTTTAGAGAAGCCCTGTTGTTGGTTGCGCATGATTTTATCAATGTAGCCATGGATCTCTGTGCGTAATGACGCATGCGCTACAATGCACGTCATGTGGTAATTGTATGATTTTTGCCCAGTCCCATCTAAGTTTTTTTTTTTTCCTGCCGTTGTCCAGTTGTTTTGTTGTTTGCATTTTTGTCCAATGAAAAGTGGAAAGACCTGTGCGTAAAAGCATGCTGTGCGGAGTGATGGAGCTCCTCATCCAGCAGCTATAAAGCGTTGTTCACGCACACCTTTTTACTAAAAGTCCTACAGTGTTTAACCCTAACCTATTATTATTATTATTATTATTATTATTATTATCTCCTTCACTCCATACTCCTCACTCCTACATTTTTTAGCATTTTATGAAATATGGCCCAGTCGCCATCTTTTTTTAATTTTTTAATTAACAATTTGATCCCCTCAAACCAAAATAACATTGTTCTCAAATCACTACAGTAATTGTTAACACACTCCACACCTCTCCCAGGATATTTAAGACATTCTGTCTGGAGAAATAGTAGAGTAAAAGTCTCTATTTCACCAGATCTGCGTTTTCCCGACAGGCCCTATAATATAAACCTTTGAATTCAACAAGTTACTCTGATTTTCACACTGATAAAGCTTAGAAAGGAATCAGTCAGATGTAAAATGATAAAATCAATTTCAAAGTTGTCTCACCTGCTCGGTTGTCGTCCAGCTCAGGGCCGACTCCCATCAGCAGCTGTCCGTCGATCAGTGGTCCACTGAGGGCCATTTCCAGCCTCCTCGGTTTTTCACAATAATCCAGAGATCCAATAGTTTAGTTGTTGTAACAAGATCTGCATCCCAAGAGAGTTATTTTCCACAGGGGTCAGCAGGTCAAAAGGTCAACTTGTGTCAAAGGCCAAGTGAAAAGAGAGAAATCAGAAAGGTCTGCAGCTTTTATACTGGACCTCGGTCAGGTGATCATTCTGTTTCCATGAGTAAATATATTTTCATACTTGTATTTTTATTTTCCAGTGATTTGTTTGCAGCCATTTGTTTTCCTTTCATTATAGTAGAGCTGCTGTGTAGCAACATGGAAACCATTAGTTATAATTACATTGTGAATCTAATACAACCTGTTTCAGTCGTACTTATTATATAAACTGTCCAGCTTTAGTGTCCACATGTTGATGAGCTGTGATCATCCATTCCTCCCACTGACTGTCAGTAGAGACAGCCTCCTTCAGCACCCGATGGGTCCATAATGATAAAACACACACAGCATGGTCACTGTAGTCCACTTGGACCAAACCTGCTTCCTATGTTCTTATGGCCCTCACATGCCTGTAGTAGTGCAGAGTTGAGCACTCCAGTGTTACTGGAGCTCAGTGGGTCCTTATTAACTCCTACACCATCAACAAACTGGTTTTAAAAACTCATTTGTGTTGTATTTGTTTTTACTGTGAGTCTCTGACCTCTAACTTCTAGTTTCAGGGTTATGATTTGATACTTAAAACATTTTAGCTTTTAGTGTGTTGGGTTTATCAATTTTAATGCCAAAACATACGTTCACATGGATATAGATGCAGTAGTTTAATGCTTTGGTGTTTGCAAGTGCAGCTGGAATAATCAGGCTTTAACCAAAGTGTCAGCAACTCTAATGTAAACAGCCTGACTTCACCTCCTCCAGTGCTAAATGACCAGCTGCTGGCATTGGCTTCATATTTAATGGACAGACTGAAGTGGTATTTTTACATTAGCAAAAGGTTTCATGGTTACTTTTATCTGAAAGGGGTTGCTCTACCTTTATATAGCTGCTTTCAGAAACAGTTAAGAAAGACTGATGTGTCCTGGAAAAATGAGCCTACAATAGACCTTTTTCACGGCAGCCATTTTGACATGAAAGATTAGGGTAAACACAGTTGTTGATCACCAATCATACTAATTAAGGTTCTGTTCCATTCAGGTCAAACAGAGTCAGGGTACTGTTATTGTGCATGTTGTACTCACCGGAAAGGCTCTGTTACACTAAATGGAACAGAACCTTAATTAGTATAATTGGTAACCCCTGTGTTTACCCTACTATTCAATGTAAAAATGGCTGCTGTGAATAAGGTCTATTGTGCAAGAGTGCTTTAAAGACACAATGGCTCTGTGTCTACCTGCCAGAGCACAGTATTCGTTACATAGCAGGCTGCATATATATATTAATATGAAATCATAGCTTATTACTCTAATGAGGGGTAACAAAGGATTGCCTATATTTTAGCTTGAGTGAGGTTCTTCACAGTGTACTTGCTGCTCGGAAATGCAAACCACTGTACAGGAATTATCTATAAATTGAGGACTATAAATATCCTATTTCTGATCTCCAAAGATCTGCAGAAAGTACTCATGGAAATAGCTCTCTCTCAGCGCCTCACACATTTGCCTAGGCAAATGTGAAGGTTTAGCCTCTCTTTATCAGCCATTTAGCTTTCAGTAGCAGCAAACATGGACTTCTCATCAACGGAAGCTGCACTTAGGAGACGGTAAGACACAGCTTTTTTTTACTTTTTCTGCCTGTTTCAGCTTTTAAATGCATGAAGCAACCAAGAAACCATGTGGAAGAAATTATGGTAACACTTGGAAGTCTGATCCACTTGCTAACGTGTTGAATTCTTATGTAGGCTGCTCAGAGACCGTATGTTTGTGGTGGCAACACGGCAGCCGCAAGACAAACCAGGCCAAAGCTCTAGTGATGACAAGACTACACTGATCCTCACTGGCCTCATTGGTAGTCTGACTGCAGACATAGAAAGTACTTGTGATTACGTCCCTGTAATCTATGGTCTCATCTCAGGGGTCAGGAGTCAGTTGACTCCTGTTTCTGTCTCTGTCTCTCTCTCTCACTTTCTATCCATTTCACTCCTCGGTCCTTCAAACCCCTCTTCTCCTTTGTCCATTTGATTACAAATTCATTCACAGTGTAACTGCAGCGACAAGAGGACTGTCAGAGGAACCCGTTAACTCGAGACCACTTCAACATGCGATTGGTGAAATAGGGGGATAAGCGGGACTTCAGCGAAGACTCCTAACTTGGATTCTGTTACATGAAGAAGACTCTCCAAGAAGAATCTCACAGACGTAAAAAAACAACCATGCAGAGGTTGGTGCTTCAAAAACTTTTTTTTTTGGTTCTGAATTTTATTTTTAGGATGTGTGGAAAGTACTTTATTTGCAGGAATGATGCTGCTCAAGCTCAAGTTGCCATTCAGCCTACATGAACTCACTGACTTATTTTAGACAATAACTCACAGTAGGCTTTACAAGAGGTCAAACACAGAGCGACCTATAGCGAGAGATGGTAGAGGAACCCACCTTTAAACTTTAAACAAATACTTATCCGATAATTTAGACTAATATAAATAATTATTTATGGTTAGATTAGGTAGATTATTATTATTATTACTATGAGATCATTATGAGTGGTGGAAATGATGGTTCTTCTAAAACAGAACTAATCTGGTGCAAAGATAAACCTAATAGTAAGTAATAGGCCTGTCAGAGTATAAGGGCAATTCCCTTTAGGTTTAGGCACCATGGGCAGTTAAAAACTTACACATTTTTAGGCTAGTTTCAGTATTTGTAGACCCTGTATTTTTCCTCTAGGCCTGTATTTTTTCTCTAGTATTTTTCCACCCAAATTTTATTGTGGAGAGGGCTTTGAAACAGCATTTTGGCTGGCAAACAATATGTTAACACTTATTTACCGGATCTGTTATATCCCTATACATTTCTTTGATGTTTCTTGGAAGGAATTATGTAATCTGGTACTAGTTACAGAAAGAAAACAGTTACAAAGTTGGGTTATTTTGGTCAGAGTGTATGTAGACTAAAAATATTGTTCCATATAAATTAAAACTTAACAGTTTTTAGAGACCCTCCTTTTTCTTTTAGAAAGGGGCTTTGACTAGTGACCTCAGTATTTCTGGCTACGCCCCTGATCACAGCACAACTATTAGGAAAATATGTTAGAATTTGCATTTAAAACAAATGAGAAATCATTCAAGCAAGGTGTAGTGCATAGTATCCGTGTATACCTATTTTATTTTTCAGTCAGCATTAAGCATACCCACTTCTAAAACCCCTCTGCAGTGTTCTGCAAGCTGATTTTTTAAATCCTAGGATGGCGAAGGTATGACTGTCTATTTTTCATGAGTGGATAAGGAATAAAGTATCCTCAAAATGCATTATTTAATGTTAATTTCACAAAGATCATTATTTACTCAAGTCTAGCAGCAGAAGTTAAGTGACAATATGCAAATACTACTTATACTACCTATTTTAGGGTCAACTAAATATACAAGTTTATCCTTCATCTAAAAATAATTCGTGCCATACATAAAGTCAAAATCTGTAAGAATATTCCAGGAATAGCATTATTTGTCTTTGGGGGTTTGGTTTACAACAAGGCTTAATTACATTACATTAAGGCCATTGTTCACCCACCTGTTTCATAATTTAACACTACACGACAGCGGCGGCCACAGGGCGGTGGTAAGGAGGGGTGTTTCCTGCTCACTGTCTCTGGAGCATCCGCCACCACTCACGGCCCCTTTAAGAAAGCAGCGCCGAACACTGACGATATTTCCTCGGCCCAGTTCCCCTGCCCGTTTCTGCGAAATCAACAAGAGACGAAGGCAGGCTGGTATCTGCAAGCTCCGGGCCAATAGCTCTCCCCCGACCGAGAGGGACGCAACTGGTATCATATTTTATTTTTTGTTCAGTGTCTGTCTGCCTGTGTAACCGCTCAGCACTCGGCAGGAGAGGACATTTAGCTAGTCGGTGCACAGGGAAACGAGCGGATATTGTTGAGATGGATGGATCAAGTGAGCGGTTTTCGCCGTGAGACTGGCGCTAATTTGGACGTCCCCTGAGCAGCAGGTGTACTGAAGGATAAAGCAGAGGACTCAGGGGAATCTCAGTGTTCATGAAACTTTGCTACGATTTACGTGCTGGGTAAGAAGACTTTTCTCTTTTAAACGTTCCGCAAAATGTCTATTGTTAAAGGAGCATTTAAAAAAAAAGGTGTTTTAATGTTAACCCCCCTGCCAGACTGTCTCTCCTTTCGGGGTCACCCAGGTTTTCACGTTGTGTCTCTTAATGTTGCAGATAGAAGGAAAAAAAAAAAATGTCCGACCGTTGGAGGTTTATTGAAACCGTTAACTCGAGGCCCCTAACGTCAAACTCCAACGTTTAATTGAATTCTCTCGCTGACTCAACGGCTCAAACGTAACGGACATGTTTGTATTCAAAAATGCGGTTCGGTTCAGCTAACGTTAAAACTGCGCCGTCGTTGAATGCCAACGCCAAAGTGTTTAGTGTTTAAAAGAAATAACGTCCATTGCTGCTTCTTCTTTTTTGTAAACGACCGCTCCGGGGTTTCTGTGGGTTACACCCCCCTACCACTGAATCATGATATAGCCTAGCTTAGTTTGTGTTCGCATGTTTTAATGAATTTTTTATAGCAGCCGTTGATTCAGTGCTTCATTCATGCCTTTCCACTATAAAAAAAAATAAACTGAAATCTATCACAGACAGGCAACTAAAGCTTGTTTTAGGTTATTGTTTTGTGTCAAAGTTACATAATGTACCTGAGAGTGCATAATGATTTGAAAAGTGCTGGTGTGGTGTGTTCACTGACAGCAGGACGCTCAGGCATCTAAGGTGTCTTTTTAAAAAAAAAAGGTGCTGTCAAAACCAAGATTAACTTCCCAAATATTTTTTTTTATAATTTCCCATTCATGTCAGTGTTTCCTGCCCTGAAGTGATCCCGCCTTGTTCCACTCACACAGAGGTCATCCTGGGTTACCCTTTGACCTGAGTCGACATTGTTCATCCAATTTGAGGTTCAGATTGACCAGTTGTTAAGGAAGTATTGATTGTTTCTATCCTTGTTTATGTAACTGCGTGGTGAAATAATAGGACCAGAGTAGGAGGGATGCTGGCAGTGAGTGCGAGGGCAGGATTAGAAGATAACAAAGTACTTTCATGCTGTCTCTCCGAGCTTATGCTTAATTTTCATCGCAGCGTGTGAGTCGATGTCACCTCGCCAAACTGCGCCCTGAACCAGGAGGCCGCTAAATTCCTGTTATCCTTTTGAAAACACTCATGTTTGCTAATATCAGTGAACTGCGTGAACCAGCCTTGAATGCACCGCAAGGGCACACTGTAATGCGGGCCACTGCTCCTGCCTTCACGAGACAATTACGAGCTGAAGAGTTGCCATGTTAGTTTGACATTTTTAAAAAGAGCCCAGGGAAATTGGCTACCTTTTATGTTTGTGTCCTCTTTCCCTTCAGCCTCGAAACAAAGCTGAAATGTAGAAAACCGGGAGAAGTGGGGACAAATGCGGCGTTTTTGTCGTGGTCATTTGCATATTCAACAACGTGAATGCCAAACGCATCACGCACACGACTTCTTTTGAAAACACAAACCTCGACACGATGTTGGCTTTTACAAACGCATGTCCTAATAACGGCCTGTTGTTTCTGTTCAGCCGTCTACACGTTGCATTAGTGGCTCGGATAAAGTGCGACCTCCTCGTTCCTACCATTCATTTATTATTCCGGTGTCCACATTTTGTTGCCTCGGACTCGGCTGAGACCCTCGTTTGGCCTCCAACTCTTGTTTCTAATAGGTCTAATTAGGGTTCATCAGATCTGCACTCTCCTCCCTTCCTCCCACTCCACCCCCAGGGTTGACTTCAAACGGAAGAGCCCCGATGAAATCATTTACAGTAACAATGCAGACTGCGCTCCTTCCTAATGAGAACACGGAGCCACTTCTGTCAGGCGTTATTGTTTGGTCTTTAGGTTCGAATGGCACCTAAGCCTGGCAGCGTGCTTTGTTTCACCAGAGCGTTATTATTCAGCATGGCAGTAGCCTGATGTTGGGGTTTTTTTTCCCCCCTCTGGCCATCTGTTGCCTGTCACTTGATTATGAATGCAGGAAAGTGAGCTAAACAAGAGTTGGGACATTGTGGTCAGTGCTGGCAGATGAGCTTTTAAAAGGTCGTTTCTTTCTCTGTCTTATGAACCCCTGTGGAAGTCGAGATTAGCTCTGAAGGGGAGTCTCTCTCTGCGCTGGGCCTCGTGTCTACAGAAACCAAGCGCCGCGGCTGCTGATGACGATGATGACGATGACAGGATGGCCGTGTGTGGTTTTCAGCGTGTTAAAGCGTTTGAGTGAGAGCACCTGTAGAAGGAAACTGGGGTTTGCAGTCAGCCGCGGAAGCGAAACACAACACGGAGGCATTTCCATCCAACGAGCAGTTATTGTCAAACTCTCTCTCTCTCAACCCCTGACTGCCTCGTGTCCCAGAAAATACTCGTGCACAGAAAGTGGCCTACTTGTGAGAGTGCTCTGACTTGTGTTGTACTCGGCAGCAGGTGGTTGTTTCCATGCCGACTTATAGACACAGATAGGTTGGGGGCCATAGTGAGACTAGTTATTAAAGTAAGATGAGTGTTGGTATACAGCTGAGCACAGGAGCCCGCTCAGTCTACACGATGAGCCGAAACCAATTGATACTGGGATTAAAGTAGCCATGTCACGATCCTCCTGCCTAAAACAAGGACTGTAATCACACTCATAAAAAATGCATTATTGTGCTTACCAACAAGGATGTTTATCTGAAAACGTTGCCTGCTATACTCGCAGTCGTGGCTTGCGATCAGTCCGCTGTGGTGAAAACACAGGGGTTGCTCGGCAACAGTGAGACGATGCTAACGCCAATAGGAAAAGCAACAGGACCGTTTGTTGATGACTTGGCAAAAAGTTGCCCATTTTAAGCAACAGTTGCAAACATCCACTGATTGTAACTTCTACAGTGTGACTGTGTTCTGGTTTTGTAAGTCGAGGGCATTATTATTATTATTATTATTATTATTATTGGACTGCCTCTCACAGCCTGGTGGCCACCAATGACTCTGATTGGCTCTCGCAGTGAGTGTGACCCGTGTGGCCAACAGTAACCTCGAGCCACTACGGCTCATTAGCAGAAGATTACTGAGGAGCACCAGCATACGTACACACATGCAGTCATTCAGGCTCTTACAGCTGACACACACCGGGCTCGTAAAGCTGCTCACCCTTAACTAATGTATGCAGGAATAAACAAACACTGTCCACCTGTGTGTGTGTGTGTGT